ATAGTGGATACATACCGAATCCTACCTCATGTTTCTTCACTTCTATGTACAATTTCACCCCATATCATTCCGCGAATACACAATGGAGATGAATTACCTTCTACGACGTATCTGATCTCCATTTTTTTTTATTCATCAACATTCAATTCTACTGCAGTTGCTGAATTAAGATTAATGAACAAAATATTTTCCCCAACCACTATGCCATCACTTCTGTACTGCTCGTATCTAACATCACTTTCCCATATTCCTAAATGCCTTAACAAGATCGAAATATTCATTACAAATCTTCACCAAAAAATGCACTACAAATTTTTTTGAATCAGCCTTCCATAGCTTTTCGCAAAATAGGAAGAGAGAATTTCAAAATTTGAAATTTGAAATTTTAGTTCAGTAATCGTTTTATGAATGACTGATTTGTAGATGAAAGAAACGTATGCGTGAATTATGGCAGTCAATTTTTTATTTATGTTTTAAATCCCTTATTTAACGCACTAAACTGATAAAATCCCTTTTTTAACGCACTGAACTGATAATTACAGCTTCTAAATTAAAGTATCCTCCCGCATATTAAAGTATCCACAAGACAATAAAATAAAGGGAGTTTTGTAATTTCTGAAAGAGTAGGGATAGGAAGTAATTTGTTTACAGTATTATACTAGCTTTGTATAATTTTTACTTTTTATTTTCATAATAACAAATAACTTTCATCGGGCGTAAAGTTTATATTTTTAAGTCATAACATCCTATTTCACAACTTAAGAACTTATGTCCTCTAAGCATAAGTTGGGATAAGGTTGTTCACGGATCGGTTTGGATCGGTTATTGGTCAAAACCAAAATCAAATCAACTTAATCAGTTTTAAAATTATCAAAATTGAATCGAACCAAATATAATATATACTTATTGGTTTGGTGGTTATTGTTTTTGGTTTGGGTTGGTTCCATTGTTAACCATACACAATAAAAGAAACAATTCATTCAAAATGTGAAAAAAGTGACAACGACAATCCATTCAAAATGAAATATAGTTAGAATGACTGAAATTCTAAATTTTCGATCACTGAATTTACTGTGAATAAAGCTTTAAAATTCACTATATTTTCCTAGAAGGAAGAGGCAGTAACATTTTCCATCACACAAAGAATTGTCATAGATACTCATATACATGAAATTAATAAGATAATGTTTTCACCTTGAACATTTTTGCTTTCAATAATTAAATTATAAAGAAATTTTAATGAAAACATATATAAGATTTTAAAATTTGTTTATAAAAATAATATATTATGTATGTAAATTAATAAAATATATGTATATAATTCATCGGTTGGGTTCAGTTATTTCTTTGTTTTTTTGAATAAAATCATAACCGAATCAAATACTATCAATTTTCAAAAATCTAAAATCAAATCAAACCAATTCCAAATAAATCGGCTTTATTTTATCGATTTGGTTCGATTTTTATCCAAACCGTGAACACCCCTAGTTGGGAGTATTACTAGAAATTTAAGATATTTGGTTCGATTTTTATCCAAACCGTGAACACCCCTAGTTGGGAGTATTACTAGAAATTAAAGATGAACTTTTTTGTAGGGCAAGTTGGGTAATTTCTTCCTATTGCATGGTCATTAGCTCGTCAATTACGAAATGACTTATATATATCTATATTTTTTTGGAGAAAATCTCACAATATATTTCAACATCTTTAAGGCTTAGGCCCACAATTGAGATACCCTTTTCATTCGTTGGCACGTACTTACATGAACATCGACTCATTGACTTACAAGTCGTTCTAGGTCTACCCGTATTTAACAAGCTGAGAAATAAATCCAATTGAGACAGCAATTATAATCATGCAAATTATAGCTACTATTCATAATTGTATTTAAACTCTAGTTATTTATGAAAATTTCTTAATAAAAATTTGCAAATTCTGCGCTACCTGACCCGCAAAAATGATACAATATTGTGCTGGTCTTTAATTTTTTCATCTCATAACTAATAAATTTTGCGTATCACAAAAAATTAAACTGAAACAAACTGTATGTGTGTATTTGTTTTAGAGGTGATATAATGTGTATCAATGTTTTAGTTTCAAACCCAAGTATTAACGAATGGCATGACTGAGACATTTCTGATAGATGATGACATATATGATTTTTTTCAAGGAACAGAGATATTATTTGGAGGAGTTTGAGTTTTCTGTGACTTTTTCTTCTAAGATGATAACTCTTGAGAGACTTTTCCAATATAATTATTCCCCACAACTGTAAGATTGAACAATCCAACCACCTTTTCCATTGTATTTACTTCCATGAGTAGTGACACATTAAATTTCATTGACTCAGCAAGCCATTAAATGATTCATTACAAATATATAAAGAACTTTATCCTGCACAAGTTCTTCACAACCAAAACAATCCGTTAGCCTTTGATGTGAGGCCAAAAATACATATTTTTAATGACTATTTGCCTGAAATTTATTATTTATATTTGTCCTTTATGAGCATGAATTTTATGGATTGTGCTTAATAGTGTATTTTATTTGTAGGATTAAATTGTATTTAAACTCTAGTTATTTATGAAAATTTCTTAATAAAAATTTGCAAATTCTGCGCTACCTGACCCGTAAAAATGATACAATATTGTGCTGGTCTTTAATTTTTTCATCTCATAACTAATAAATTTTGCGTATCACAAAAAATTAAACTGAAACAAACTGTATGTGTGTATTTGTTTTAGAGGTGATATAATGTGTATCAATGTTTTAGTTTCAAAGCTAATATGTGTATTTGTGATTGCAAAAGAGAGAGGAAATAACTTTGGCGGAGCTCCCACTGCATGACATAACAAGAACTTATGTCCATTAAGCATAAGTTCGATTATTGAAGAATAATAATTCCTTATTGGCTTCATGGACACTAAGTGTTGGTGCATGCACGGATTGGTATGGAGTTATATGTTTTAATGGTCAGATAAACAGGTTGAATATTACTAATGCTGGTGTCATTGGTACACTCCATGATTTTCCATTTTCATCTCTACCATTTCTTGAATATTTTGATCTTAGCATGAACCAGCTCTCTGGTATTATACCCCCTGAAATAGGAAACCTCACTAATCTTGTCTATCTTGACTTGTCGTCTAATCAGTTTTCAGGCAAAATCCCATCACAGATTGGCTCACTGTCAAAGGTTGAGAACCTCTTCATCTTTAATAACCATTTAAATGGTTTCATTCCTGTTGAAATAGGGAGCATGAAATCACTTGAGATTTTAGCCTTACAGAATAACAATCTTTCTGGTCCAATTCCAATAACTCTAGGTGACTTAGGTGAGCTCAAAAGTCTGCACCTTTATTCTAACCAACTTTCTGGACCCATTCCTAGTGAGTTGGGGAATCTGAAAAACCTCACTAATATGAAACTATCCCAAAATAAGCTTAGTGGTTCAATTCCAATTTCTTTAGGCGACTTAACTGAACTCAAACTTTTGTACCTTCATTATAGTGAGTTGGGGAATTTGAAAAACCTCAATGATCTGGAACTATGCAATAATCAACTTAGTGGTTCAATTCCAATTACTCTGGGTTACTTAACTGAGCTCAAAATTTTGTATCTTCATTCTAACCAACTTTCTGGTTTCATTCCTAGTGAGTTGGGGAATTTGAAAAACCTCAATGATCTGGAACTATGCAATAATCAACTTAGTGGTTCAATTCCAATTACTCTGGGTTACTTAACTGAGCTCAAAATTTTGTATCTTCATTCTAACCAACTTTCTGGTTTCATTCCTAGTGAGTTGGGGAATTTGAAAAACCTCAATGATCTGGAACTATGCAATAATCAACTTAGTGGTTCAATTCCAATTACTCTGGGTTACTTAACTGAGCTCAAAATTTTGTACCTTTATTCTAACCAACTTTCTGGTCTCATTCCTAGTCAGTTGGGGAATTTGAAAAACCTCACAGAGCTGGATTTATCCGAGAATCAGCTTAGTGGTTCAATTGCAATTACTCTAGGTGACTTAACTGATCTCAATTTTTTGTACCTTCATTCTAACCAACTTTCTGGTCTCATTCCTAGAGAATTGGGAAATTTGAAAAACCTCACTGATATGAAACTATCCCAAAATAAGCTTAGTGGTTCAATTTCAATTTCTTTAGGTGACTTAACTGAACTCAAACTTTTGTACCTTCATTCTAATCAACTTTCTGGTTTCATTCCGAGTGAATTGGGAAATTTGAAAAACCTCAATGATTTGCAGCTATCCCATAATAAGCTTAGTGGTTCAATTCCAATTACTTTAGGTGACTTAACTGAGCTCAAAATTTTGTATCTTCATTCTAACCAACTTTCTGGTTTCATTCCTAGTGAGTTGGGGAATTTGAAAAACCTCAATGATCTGGAACTATGCAATAATCAACTTAGTGGTTCAATTCCAATTACTCTGGGTTACTTAACTGAGCTCAAAATTTTGTATCTTCATTCTAACCAACTTTCTGGTTTCATTCCTAGTGAGTTGGGGAATTTGAAAAACCTCAATGATCTGGAACTATGCAATAATCAACTTAGTGGTTCAATTCCAATTACTCTGGGTTACTTAACTGAGCTCAAAATTTTGTACCTTTATTCTAACCAACTTTCTGGTCTCATTCCTAGTCAGTTGGGGAATTTGAAAAACCTCAATGATCTGGGACTATGCAATAATCAACTTAGTGGTTCAATTCCAATTACTCTGGGTTACTTAACTGAGCTCAAAATTTTGTACCTTTATTCTAATCAACTTTCTGGTCTCATTCCTAGTGAAATAGGGAAGATGAAGTCACTTGAGGTTTTAGCCTTACAGAGTAACAATCTTTCCGGTCCAATTCCAATAACTCTAGGTGACTTAACTGAGCTTGAAAGTCTGCACCTTTATTCTAATCAACTTACTGGTCCAATTCCTGCTTCCTTTGGCAATTTGAGAAAGTTACAATTTTTGTATCTCCGTGCCAACAAACTTTCTGGTTCTATTCCAAAAGAACTTGCATATTTGGATAACTTGGTAGAGCTGGTACTGAGTGAAAATCAACTTACTGATCCAATTCCTGCTTCCTTTGGCAATTTGAGAAAGTTACAATTTTTGTATCTCCGTGCCAACAAACTTTCTGGTTCTATTCCAAAAGAACTTGCATATTTGGATAACTTAGTAGAGCTGATACTAAGTGAAAATCAGTTTTCAGGCCATTTGCCTGAGCATCTTTGCCAAGATGGGAAACTTGAGAACTTCACGGTGGCCAGTAACAAGTTAACAGGACCAATACCAAGAAGCTTGAGCAAGTGCTCCAGTTTTAAATGGGTCCGCTTTAACAACAACAGTTTCACTGGGGATTTATCTGAAAATTTTGGTATCTATCCAGAGCTTCTGTTCATTGATTTGAGCGACAATGATTTTCATGGTGAACTCAGCAGTAACTGGGGAAAATGCAAAAATTTAATTGATCTGCGTGTAGCCAGAAATAACATTAGTGGTAGCATACCACCAGAGATTGGAAATGTCAAAGGACTTCTAGGACTTGATCTTTCATCGAATCATTTAATTGGGCAGATTCCAAAGGAATTTGGAAAATTAACCGCTCTAGTTAATCTTTTTCTGCAAAACAACCGAATTTCTGGCAATATACCTGAGGATTTTGAGTCACTAACAAAGTTAGAGACCCTAGATCTGTCAAACAATAGATTGAATGGGTCAATCCCGATGTGTATAGTAGATTTCGTGCACTTGTTTCAGTTGAACCTGAGCAACAACAAGTTTGGCCAGAATATTCCAAAGGATATAGGAAGGATAACTCAGCTTAATGTACTTGATTTGAGCTATAATCTTCTGGTTGGAGATATAACCCCTCAGTTAGCCAATTTGAAGGTGTTGGTAAACTTAAATTCCAAAGGAGATAGGGAGGATAACACAGCTTAATGTACTTGATTTGAGCTATAATCTTCTGGTTGGAGGTATACCCCCTCAGTTAGCCAATTTGAAGGTGTTGGTAAACTTAAATCTTTCCCACAATGGCCTATCTGGGCGCATTCCTCAAGAACTTGAAAGTTTGACTGGTTTGCAGGACGTCGTATTGTCATACAATGAGTTGGAAGGTCCAATCCCTAATAATAAGGCTTTTATCAATGCCTCATTGGAGGGTAATAAAGGTCTTTGCGGAAATGTAGCAGGACTCCAGCCTTGTGAAAGGCCGTCTTCTATGGTGAAGAAGCACTCAATGGCGAAGGCATGTAAACTCACCCTCATCACTGTACTTCCTGTTATGGGAGCACTGGTACTGCTCTGTGTTTTCATTGGTGTTCTCTTTATGTGTAATAAAAGGAGGAGAGTTAAAGAAGTTGAAAGAAGGGATGGTGATGGTTGGCTTTCGATATCCATGTTAGATGGGAAGGAATTGTACAGGGACATCTTAAACGCCACAGAAGAGTTTGATGCAAAATTTTGCATTGGGCGAGGAGGTCACGGAAGTGTTTACAAGGTAAACCTTCATCATTAGGGAATATTGCTGTGAAGAGACTTCATTCTTCATTTCAGAATACACATCCCAAAAGCTTCATCAATGAAGTAAGGGCATTGACTGGGATTAAACACCGAAACATTGTGAACCTCTACGGCTATTGTTCAAAACGAATACACATCCCAAAAGCTTCATCAATGAAATAAGGGCATTGACTGGGATTAAGCACCGAAACATTGTGAACCTCTATGGCTATTGTTCGAAAGCACAACATTCACTCTTGGTTTACGAGTATGCGGAGAGGGGGAGTTTGTCTAGTACTTTGAGTGATGAAGTTGAGTCCAAGAAATTGGATTGGCTTAAAAGGGTGAATATCATCAAGGGTGTTGCTTTTGCTTTATCTTACATGCACCAGGATTGTTCACCACCCATTGTTCATCGAGACATAAGTAGCTGTAATGTTTTGCTTGATTCTGAGTATGAAGCTCGTGTTGCAGACTTTGGACTAGCGAAGATTCTCAATCCAGACTCATCCAATTGCACTACACTTGCAGGCACATATGGCTATGTCGCACCTGGTAAGTTTTAAATAGTTCCTGAACTATAGCCAAACACTCCATTGTTTTTATCTCATTTACACGTTTTAATTGTTAATATTGCTTTGAAAATTGTATTATTCAGAGCTTGCATATACTATGAAGGTTACGCAAATGTGTGATGTGTATAGCTTTGGAGTATTATCATTGGAGATAGTCAAAGGAAAGCATCTTGGGGAATACATTACTGTGCTAGCAAATTCATTGACTATAGATCCTGAGCAGCTTAGCGATTTGCTGGATGAACGCCTTCCATATCCTGAAGATAGAGTAAAAGATGTTTTGGTTTTATCATCAAGCTAGCATGCTCTTGTTTCCTTGAAACTCCAAAATCAAGGCCAACAATGCACTTCATTTCTCATAAGTTATCATCAATGGATGCACGTCCACCTATTCATCAGAGAAACCCACATGTAATGCGAGCTATATAATCCCTGATATCTATGGAAATGAATAACCTTTGTCGCTGAGTGGCTGTGAAGTATTTCAATTGCTGGGATTAGTATTGTTGTATTGTTAGGTGCTCATTTGGTTTACTCTATTAATATGTATATTGTAAGAGGTAATTTAATTATTTAATCTTCTGCTTCTTTGGCCTTGAGTAAATATCAAGAATTCAAGTTGCTGCATTTTTTTATTTTTTGCTTTCGATCGGTCTAGAACATATGCAGGAGCCCTAGTTTTAATGATTTACTAGTGTTTTAGTTTTCGACTCTTAACAATTTCCTTTTGGGCATGATTGATCGAAGCAAATTTAATGAAGTTTAGAATCAAAGTTTTGCTAAGTTGTAATCCTCTGGAGCCAGGAACAGGGGAATTTTGGTATTATGGGAAGGAATTATTGCTTCAATTCAAGTTACAAAACAGTGAAGTCATTGTTGTTTATAATCCCGTCTCAATGAAGAACAATCCAAAGGAATAATGAACAAGAAGTACAAGAAACAACAGATAATCATATCATCATATATCATATCATATAATATCATATCATATATTACTATAAGTGGGAACAAAAAAGTTAAAAGTTGATTTAAGATTTTATCCCTACTATAAATTAGAAGAATATTAGGAAAAAGATAGATTACCATTTTACCTCTACATTAAATTAAAATGTTATAAGCTATTAATAAATTAAATATTAAATAATAATTATATCATACTATTATATTATTATACTAATGCTAATCAGTATATACCTGCTTGTTAATTTTATCAATTTTTGGCTTTTGATTTTCTTCCTAATCTAGATTACTCTCCCAATACCTATGAACATTCACTTATTGCTATAATAATTATATTAAAGAAGGTGAATGAAGAGTTGCACAGTATTAATTATGAGAAATGTTCACTTATTGCTCCAACAATAATAATGATGAATAAGGAAAATGAAGAGTTGGGGTAATTTCTATCCGAGTCAATATTATATTTGTGTAGCAAAGAGGTCACCCAATGGTTATATAGCAAAAATGCATGATTGTGAAACAAACTTTTCATTTCACTCTAAATACATTAGTTGATCACTAATCCCTTTCATTATATTCTTTTATTTTTTTACAGGAGAAAAATGTACGTGTACATTCTAAAACTTCATACGGAGCTTGCAATGTGATGGGAACGGATGTTTAAAATCTTGGCATAATACATATATTGGACCCTAAACTTGGCTTCAAATTTTAACTTTGACCTCCAACTTTCATAGTGCACAAACAGACACTTTAACTATTCAACTTTTAAATAAATAAACACGCGATTTTTGCAGCCAAAGAGCGTGAAATGCAAACGCTCCAACGTGTATTAGTGAGTCACTCAATGGCTACCAACTAATAAAATATTTTACACGTCGATTTTAGAAAAAAAATTAATTTTAATGTATATACAAGAATCAAAATCAATTCCTCCTAATGGTTTTTAGAGCTTGGAGCTCATTGTTTGACGGAGCTTAGAGGTTTGTTGATGGCTGGCATCTTGGTTTAGGTGTTTGTGGTTGTTGGGTCTGTTTTCATAGGGTTTGGGGGGTCATTTGGTTGTTGTTTTATGTCTGGTTCTCGCCGGAGATGGCGGATCTGATGGATTTGGGGTCGGGTATTTGGTGGGTTTGGCGAGCTCGAAGCTCGTTCGCTTCATGGGTTGTGCTCTGGTGTGGGGGAAGAAGGAGAACGGTTGGGTTGGAGGTGTTTGGAGTTGGGAGCTGCTGGTTGTTTGAGGTTGAAGCCGGCTCGCTGGTGATGGCGTGAGCGGAGGGAAGAAGAAGAAAATGAATGGAGGTTTTGGGTGGTTTCAAGTGCTGTTTGCTGGCCGGAAAAGGGAGGAGTAATGGATGTGTTTGTTCACTTGTTTGGGGGTCATTTGGTGGTGGCGTTTGCCTGAAAAAGAAGAAAATGAATGGGGTTTTTGGGTTGCCGGAGATTGGCCGGAATCCGGGGTGGTAGAGTTGTCAAATTACTCCTAACTCGCGCATAATACGTGCACATCACGCGTTTTGCCAAATAGGACTCGCGTGTTTATTTATTAAAAGGTTGGATAGTTAAAGTACTTGAAAAAGTACGTGTACATTCTAAAACTTCATATGGAGCTTGCAATGTGATGGGAACGGATGTTTAAAATCTTTGCGGAGGTTGAAATTCATCTTTTTATAAAGATGGCCTTCTAACAAGCATAATAAGTAACTACTACATTTTCATGTTTTGAAAAACTTCTCTTTTAATATTTAATTTTTAGGCAATTACTGAAGGAATTCAGCAAGTTTTTTACTGATTTTACATACTTTTGGGTAAGTGAGATGGAAACTCTCTTCTTCCTTTCTTTGTCATTTCACTTAATTATGTTATGTAAGTTGATCATTGAAAAGGTGCTACATTTATCATTCTTTCATTAAATTTATTCCCCTTATTTTATTAGAGCTTAGTTTTTCCTGTTTCATATCATACCAAGCTAGCTACAACTTTGGAAGAAAATTATTATAGATAATAATAATGGTCATATCTAAGTATGTTGATTACCTAATGTTTTATTGAATCCATGTTAGTAATGTTTAGGTACACTTCTTAAATTTAGAGCAAGAGTTCCTTGATATGTCATATATCATCATATGCTATATTATTTTAATTAGTTTTACATAATTCAACACATCTTATTTTCCAAAACAAATAACTAAAAGTTAAATGAAAAGAGTTAGTTGTCACCCTTGTATTTGTATAGAGAAACATATATTTAGATATTTTAGTCTAGAAGATTATATTTGAAATCCTTCTTTTCATTTATTTTTGGATGCAAAAGTAAGCTTTATATAGAAACATATTAATCAATACAAGATTTATCATATTTATAAAAATATAATGTGATAAATATTTATATCGACATGATATTAGACTTATATAAATTTTAGATCATAATAGAAGACAAACGTGCAGCGCACGTTTCCAGAACTAGTATTATTATAAGTGAGAAAATTTTAAGTTCAAAATTGAATTACGAAAATGCCCTTCACTTATTTTTTAATTAAAATCATTTAAAATAAAATCAATAATTACAATTAAAATAGAAAAAAATACATGGTTAGATGTTACAACTTATCATTTTCTACCTCTTAATGACTTTAATTGTTAATTATTATTATATTAGATAACTGTTCCGTCAAATAAACCCAAAAGTCGCTAATGTTTTCAGTTTAACAAAACTCAACAGTCGAGTCCTTTGTGTACTAAAATACACCTACTTTCTTCCTGTTCTTTCTCCAATTCTCATCCCTTACAACAAGTCTTCAATTCATCATTTACAAATGATGTATATGTGAGTACTTATACTGAAAAGTTGGAATTTACTCATGATCCATGACTACTTTCTTTCAATAAATATAGTACGTACTCTTTATTAAATAACTCATGTGTGATGTGCTCTTATTTTCTCTCCTTCTCAGGGTATACACACTATAATTTTCAATTGGTATTTTGTCGACATAGCTATTGTGTGCAAGGTATCATCTCCTGCGTTACAAGTTTTCAAATTTACCTCTCTTTTTGCCAATTTGAAGGTAAAATTAAGATTGTGAAGAGGAACACGAGTTCTGCAACATGACTGTGAAGTTTTAAAGACTGATTTGTTCAAATAGCATGAATATTGGATGAAAGGTTGAAGTCATCACAACTTATGAACCAAGACGTGCATACTTTGGCATGATTTTGAAAATTCAATCGAGTGACGGCTGGAAGAAATGAATATGCATTAATTCCTTTACAAAAACAAAATCAATATAAAGAATTTTTGATCATTCATCAAGAATTTTTATGATTGTTAATTGATTTCCTAATTCACTTTGCTTTCAATTGTTAATTGATTTCCTACATGAAAGGTTAGAGTTATCTCTCCTTCAGAAAATAATCCAATACCGAGAAGGCGAGAACCATTGGCAAGCAGCAAAAAAGAACGTGCAGCGCACGTTTCCAGAACTAGTATTATTATAAGTGAGAAAATTTTAAGTTCAAAATTGAATTACGAAAATGCCCTTCACTTATTTTTTAATTAAAATCATTTAAAATAAAATCAATAATTACAATTAAAATAGAAAAAATACATGGTTAGATGTTACAACTTATCATTTTCTACCTCTTAATGACTTTAATTGTTAATTATTATTATATTAGATAACTGTTCCGTCAAATAAACCCAAAAGTCGCTAATGTTTTCAGTTTAACAAAACTCAACAGTCGAGTCCTTTGTGTACTAAAATACACCTATAATTTTTTGAACTTTAATCATCGAACTTGAGGAAGCATGCCTACATATTTGATTAAGGAGAGAATTAGGTTTGCGTAGTTCCTCTAGATTTAATAGTATTTTTTTTTCTAATTATCTATTCTATTGATATCTTAATATTCATAAATTGCATGCTTTTTATAATCATAACCTCCAAATGTTTAATTTGAAACGTTAAGATATCTTTTGGTATTTCTACGCTTTTATCTATATAAATGCATATATTTTTTGTTTTATGAGACCCCCGAAAATTTGAAATGTTCATATTCATCTTATCTATTCAATAGATATTTTCTTCATTTATTTTTCTATTAAAGAAGAATTTCATAAGTCAAAAAAATATGCATCCTCTTACTAATTGATTTCCTAATTCACTTTGCTTTCAATTGTTAATTGATTTCCTACATGAAAGGTTAGAGTTATCTCTCCTTCAGAAAATAATCCAATACCGAGAAGGCGAGAAAAACTTGTTGAACCCGTTCTCAAAATGGCTGGATGGTTCACTGGTACCACTGCAAGATTTCAACTCACAGGTTCGATCCCAATTAAGAAAGGATGTGTATGTTGTATATTTTTCCTTCTCAATTCATTTAATGTGTTTTCGCTATATATTAGACTTTTTTAATATAATTTTCTTGAATTTTTTATTTTC